CGCACTCCAAGCAGTAACTTTAGGTGATACTCGAGTACACCGGAACCAAGGGTCTCATTACCACAAGATTCCCATTTCAGTCCCCGTGGCTAGTCAATTTTCACGACCAAGCCCTCGCTGGCTCGATTCAAGTGACTACCAACGAGGTTGAGCTCAGTAATACAGTAAGGCCGTTGGATATTCGTCCAAACGACACCAAATCAGTTTTTCATGGAAGGAATTCAATGTCTCATATATCAATTGCAGTAATTTCAGTGAACGGTAAACAGTCATGAATGTTATCATAAGGGGTGAGGGCGGTCAAGTACACCCTCACCTCTCTCAATTCCAATAGCCAAGTAAGCCTTCAAGGCATCAAATTCACATATAACAAAGCCACATTGTAATAATTAAGTGAGTAGTATACTCACCACTCAAGAAAGTGATGTTTCATGCACCGTCGTTAAACGAACGTCGTGCACCACCGTTACCTCCTAGAACAAGCAAACAAATACAATGAGACTCGATAACGAGTCATAAAGCAATGCCAATCGCAACCCCAATAGGGTTTCATATGCATAGACAAGTAGCATAGATAACCAGAAATTTCAGCAATGCACTAACTTGACCTTAACAAAAAAACAGTTTTCGTCCTCCTTTTGCGGTAATGGCACAAAATGCGCTACGCTTATCGGATGAGGGTGTAAAATCCACCATCTCGAAGCTAAAAGACAGGGCTACAACAATGTAGAAGGCCACTCAGTCCAAATCCTAGCACAACTAGGTCAAAAATGCAGAATACCAAACCAGAACCGTAATTGCAGGTTCACAAATCACACTATGCTGTAATTAGTCCAACTCAGTCTATACAGGTCCAAATGCGTTGATTCCAAAGGCATGCGGTAGCTAAGACCTCAAGCTACATTTCATCAGAAGACACCAACATCCAAATCCAAAGCAATTCCAGTCAAAACAGACGATTACAAACACAGTTTGCACATTCTGATCAACCCAGAACAGCTACAGTAAAATCGACATATCTCACTCTACACTACTCCAAATAACCTGAAATTTTACAGACACCTCAAACACATCAATACCTACAACTTTCATGTTTTGAGCCAAGGCCAATTCGGCCTCTAAGCATGAGATACAAAACCGGACAGAAAAGGGGGTTCTGAAACCCTAACTTTTCTCATTTCAATCCAAACCCAAAATTGGTTGCAATTATCAATCATTTACATCCACTAGAGTCATAACCCCTCATTATCAACCATCATAAACAACCACAACACCATGATCACATTAAACCAGAAAATTCCTCAAAAAAATAAAAACTTCACCAATTCATCTCAAACCAAGAAATAAATCACAAATTTCAACACTTTAGCCACCACTAGGCACAAATTAAACATCATTAAGTATAGGAGGAAGTTCACACACCACTTACCTAGTAAACAACATTCTCTTAAGGAGGAGAGATTGTGATGCCCCGAAAAGAAGGGTTTTCATTTTATGTATATTTTTGTTGGACGAGTGGAGGAGCACAGTTTTTCAATTGGAAAAGAAACGAAAAATTCAGTGAAAAGATGAAGGGCCAAATCCGGCCAGATCTTGGCCGGATTGTTGGCTGGATTGCCTGAGGATTTTGAAAAAAATGGGTTTCGTCTCTGGCCAGAATCCGGCCAGATTTCGGCCGGATTCTGACGTATCACAGTCGGTCAGAGGCTTTGACCGGCTGTTTCTTTCATTACTTATCCTATTTTGGCCAAAATATCTTCATTTCTTCCCTGGTTCATCCGTGCCTCTTGAGAGAAAAACAAGAAAAGTTCTTCATTTTTCCATCTTCAATTTCTACTCAAATCTTGAGTTTTAACCGATGGTTTTGAAAAATATTTCATACAAGGGCTCACTATAGTGGTTTAAAGCTTTTGATGGATTGATTTTGGAAGAGAAGCTCTAAGTTGATAGCTTTCTTAAATTTGAGGTAAGTTGGATAAACAAGTTCCCTTTTGTTCTAATATTGGTTAATTAATGGTTATGGTGGCTAAGTATGTTGTATTGTGGAGTATTTCATGGGTTGAAGGAATTTATGGTGAATTTCTGATTTTTTAGGGGATTTTCTGAATTTATATTATAATCATGGATTGGTCTTGAATTGATGGATTGTTATGGTGTTAAATGGACTCTTTATACGTTAATTGCAGTTGTTTGTGGAAAATTGTGAATTTCCGATTTTAGGGTTTAATTTGGAGCTTTCTTATAGATTGGTTATTAAGCTTCTAATTGGCTTGATTGAGGGGTATTGTGGCCCTAATTGGATATGTTTTATCGTTTACGAACTGTATGTGCAATTGTGGTTAATTGCTATATGATTGGGTATTTGATTGTACGTTGGACAAATAAAGAAATTAAGGGCAAATGCTGTCCAAACTTTGAAAGTGTTTGATTGCTTTGAGGTTGTGATCTAGGGCTTAGATTTGGGCAAGACAATGATATATGATGGATGGTTCCTGAGCCGTGGAGGTGAGTGATCCTAAACTATTTCCAAAGTTACTTATGAACTGTTTCCTACATTCTTTATTCAATTGCATATCATGCGTGCTTGCATGGGAGTTCATGGCATGATTTGGCTTAAATGAATTCTTGGGGAGTCTTGTGCTGTACACCAACGTCTTCACCACTTGTTCATGTTCATTTGGAGCTCAGAAAGGGGCTCCCTCTTACTGTTTAACGTTAAAGGATGTATTTGAGCGTTGGGTGTTTAAGTGCAATGATTTCACTGGCTTACGAGAGCAATAAACGTACATTAGACTACTGAATCATGACATCATTGAAATGAACGATTGTAAAGCTTATTTGATTTCTGGATTTTACTGGTTACTCACTGAGTTTCTAGATCGCTCCAAAACTATTTTATTCCCCTCCACAGGGCTTGAAGCGATTGAAGCATTGATAATCAAGTGTTCCATGTGAATGGGTGAATTATCTCCTATTCAGTTGCAGTTTTAGTTTTATCCTGTGTAATAGTTGAAACTGCGATTGTACTTGTAATTATGTGAGAACTGGGGACCTTTGTCTTATTCGGGAAAGTTGTATTGCTTTGATCTCTTGAGGTTTTAGTTGATAGCGCAATTGATTAGGTTCGCTTCGCTTTTGATATGTAAATGTTGGAACATTTGATGTATATTTGAGATTTATATTGTAATTTAATTGAGAACTGTTGTGAACGACTGAGTCCCGGTGAGAGTTGGGCAGGCGGCCCGTCGAACCCTTTGGTTCGCCTTAGGGGAAGGTGGGGCTGTCACAAGATATACGAATGACATTGGCAAAGCAAGTGGAAATTAACTCCTGAGAGCTCCGATATCCTTGAATTGTTTCTGCTTAGTTTTCCGCTCGAATTGTTATTTATTGCAATATTGATGCTTTACTTGTTAAATTGGGATTGCTACTTGAACAATGTGCTTGCATGTGTGTTCTTGGCCTCATGAGCGTTTTGCTCACCCTGTAGACTTGTTTTCCTTAACAGGTTTGGCTTGGAATGATGTTCGGAGGAATTTCTTTTTGTGTACTCATGTAACAGAGTTCCAACTCTTTTATCTAGACTTTTGGATATTGTATATTTTGGGCTGTATTATGGAAATCCGATATAAGAATTGGGTGATTGTTATAGATCGTTAAGCTTGAACGCTTCCGCGCTTTTTGTATGTATATTTTCTGGTTATCGACTTCTAGTATCGTTATAAGCTTGAATAGAAATTACTTGAGTCCTGGCGAGAGTTGGGCAGGCGTCCCGCGGATACCCTTTGGTTCGCCTTAGGGAGAAGTGGGGGCGTCACAGTTGGTATCAGAGCGCTAGATTAGAGATCTATATGGAAGACATATTAGATACTCTACCCTTAAAACCTGAGACCGGATAATTAAATTATACCTTAAGAGGTATTTGGAGCATACTAGTGATTGGGTTAGGCATGCATAAACGACATCCGAACTAGATAGTGATTTAATTTCTAACCTGAAAAGTGCTATTATTTTACAAGGATGGAAAACGGAAATGGAGTTCCGGCAGCTAACGGGAATGACCATGCGAATGGTCATGTAGTGCCTTCTAAGCCTATTTACTACCGAGCGTTAGGTGGGGGAGCTCGAGTACGTTATTCCCCATCTGACAGACATCCCCGATGTTCATGTAGGTTGACCTTCGTCAATCCGAACTACCTCGTGCTTGCTTTGGACGATGAGCGTCGTCAGTTAGTGGATTTTAACCAGGATTTACAGGCAGAGGTGGACGAGCTTGGACATATGGTTAGCGCTCAGGGAGAGAGGATTACTGAGCTCGAGGAAGTACTAGAGGGCGAGGTGGCCACATCTGCAGTGGTTTGTGAGGAGCTTCAGAGTGCTAGGGCTCGACTTACTAGGTTAAGAGAGGAGATCCGTAGTCGGGCTTTCGATATCTTGACTGATGCTACTAGGCTAGTGGATGAGACAATGGAGGGAGTGCAGAGCCCTGAGGAGGAGGAGGTTCCACCCGGTAGTTCTACTGTGGACTAGGTCTAGATTGATTGACCTTTCTTTTGACCCTTTTGACTAGTACAGCTAGAATTAGCAGGGGTGATACTAAGTGCTGAGGCCATTGTATTTTGCATGACTGTGTGGTTTACTTTTGAAGTACTTGCTTTTACTTTAGTTTTCTGTGACTAAAGTACTCTTGTGGCACATGTGTGCTATATTTTTGTAACTACCCCATGACTTGCTAATTGTATGAACTTGATATGCTAATGAATATAAATAATTGTTATTTTCAATGTTTCCTTGATTGGTTCCTGCTTTCTATTTTGTATTGCATAATTGATTTATTTCCTGCACTAGGCACGCCTAGGTTATGGAAGGACTAAGATGTGGTCGAAGTCGTAGGCGAGGGACTAGACAGGCCCAACCTCAGGGTGATGATCTCAGCAACTGGACCGACCCAGGAACAGAAAAATATTGAGGGTAATCAAGTGGCTACTGCCATTAATAGGATGACTGATATTCTAGAGCGCGTAGCTGATAGACAAGGTCCTGGACCGCTTAACCAACCTGGGGGTCAGGAAAGAGGAGAGGATAGAGCTTTAGGGAGGTTCTTAAATTTCAATCCGCCTAAGTTTCTTGGAGAACCAGATTCTGAAATAGCAGAGTATTGGTTAGAGAGGATGACCAACATATTCGCCACCCTAGATTATATTGAGGATAGGCGAGTAAATTTTGCTGCTTTTCAATTTGAGGGAGTAGCTCGTGTTTGGTGGGAGATGATAAAAGGAAAATGGGAGAGAGTTCAAACCCCTTGGACCTGGGAGAACATCATGTGGGAATTTAATGAAAAGTTTCTTCCACCCTTGATTCACGAAAAGAGAGATGATGAATTTATAAAGTTGAAACAAGGAGTCCTTAGTGTGGTAGAGTATGAAGGAAAATTCACTAAACTTTCTAAGTACGCTCCTGAACTAGTAGTCAATAAATGAAAAAGAATAAGGCGGTTTATACAGGGGCTTAATGGGAAAATTCAGGAGGGCTTGGCTGCAACCCAAATTTTTACTTTTACTGAGGCTTTAGAGAAGGCACAAAGGGTTGAAAGTGCAAGACTGCAAGTGAGGGACTTTCACAATAGAAAGAGAAATTTTTCTAGCTCTGCGTCTGGGCAGGCTAGTAAAAGTGCACAACCTTCCAAGATGGGAAGAGAAATTGGAGGAATAAGGACCACTGGAGCTTCTAGGGAAGCGTTATCCAGTGAAGGTCGCAGTGGACCGGCTCAGGCTAGAGGAGCGCCTTCTATTGGTTCGGCCGTGACTCCTCAAGTTTCTTGTGGGTACTGTGGTAAATCCAACCACTCTGAAAATGACTGCTGGAGGAAATTGGGGAAATGTTTATTTTGTGGTAGTGCTGAACATCAAGTCGCCAACTGTCCGAAATTACCAAAAATAGGAGGTAACCCTCAGAGACCAGAAAAGTCAAACTCTAAGCAGACCAATGCCGGAGGAAGTCGACCAAAAGTACCGGCTAGGGTTTATGCACTGGATTATCAACAAATTCCTGAAACGACTGAAGTGGTTGAAGGTACAATTCCAATCTTTTATCGTTTAGCTAGAGTTTTAATTGATCCGGGTGCAACACATTCTTTTGTAAACCCTAACTTCATGAGTGGGATAGAATTGAAGTCTGTTAAGTTACCGTATGATTTGGAGGTTAAAACACCTACTGGGGATCAAAGTTTAATTGCTAACCTGGTGTATAAAGACTGTGAAGTCTGTGTTGGGGAGCGAAAATTATTGGCCGACTTGATAAGTTTAACAATTAAGGGATATGATGTGATTTTAGGAATGGATTGGTTAGCCCGTTATAATACCCAATTAAACTGTCGAACAAAGATTGTAAAACTATGCATTCCAGGGGAGGCAATCCTGAAGTTGGATGTAAGGGGTAAATTGGTTTCATCCGCACTTATCTCAGGGATTCGAGCTAGAAAATTATTAAGTAAAGGAGCTAAAGAGTATTTGGCTTTTCTTATTAACACCCCTAGTGATAAGGTGAAATTGGAGGACGTGCCTGTAGTGAAAGACTTTCCAAATGTTTTTCCTGAAGAGTTAGAGTCTTTACCCTCGGAACGGAAAATAGCTTTTAAGATTGATGTAACTCCGGAAGTAGCACCTATCTCTAAAACACCACATCAAATGGCACCAGCGGAATTGAAGGAGTTGAAATTGCAACTACAGGACTTATTAGATAGGGATTTTATAAAGGAGAGTGATTCTCCGTGGGGAGCCCCAGTTTTGTTCGTTAAGAAAAAGGATGGGAGTTTAAAACTATGTATAGACTATAAAGGCTTGAATGATGTCACAATTAAGAATAAGTACCCGTTGCCCCATATTGATGAATTGTTTGACCAATTGCAATGGGCGGTAATATTTTCAAAGTTGAATTTGAGACAAGGTTATTACCAATTGAGGATTTTGGAGAAGGACATACCCAAGACTGCTTTTAACTCGAGGTACGGGCACTTTGAATTTGCAGTGATGCCATTTGGGTTAACTAATGCTCCTGCAGCTTTCATGGATTTAATGCATAGTGTTTTTAAGCCTTATCTAGATCAATTTGTGGTGGTTTTCATTGATGACATTTTAGTGTATTCTAAGAATGTGAAAGATCATGAAAAACACTTGAGAATTGTTTTACAAACTCTAAGAGAACACCAGTTATATGCTAAGTTTAGCAAGTGTGAGTTTTGGTGAAAAGAAGTGACTTTCTTGGGACACATAATTTCTAAGGATGGGATTAAAGTAGATTCAGCTAAAGTTGAAACTGTTTCGAAGTGGAAACGACCGGAAAACCCTACTAAGGTTCGGAGTTTTATTGGATTAGCAGGGTATTATCGGAGATTTATCCAAAATTTTTCTAGAATTGCTGGACCAATGACCGAGTTGACCAAGAAGAGTGGGAAGTTTATTTGGAGCCCTAAGTGCGAAGAGAGTTTCCATGAATTGAAAAGACGTTTAACCAAAGTCCCAATATTAGCTCTACCCAATAGGAAAAATAGTTTTGTGATTTACACAGATGCCTCTAGGGAAGAATTGGATGTGTTTTGATGCAAAATGACAAGGTGATAGCGTATGTCTCTAGGAAATTGAAACGCTTGAAGGGAATTACCCGACCTATGACTTGGAATTGGCAGCGGTAGTATTTTCTTTATAGAAGTGGAGACATTATCTGTATGGAGTGACATTTGAGGTTTTTACTGACGACAAAAATCTTAAGTATCTGTTCTCTCAAAAGGAGATGAATTTGAGGCAACGTAGATGGATAGAATTTTTGGAAGATTATGATTGCACTATAAAGTACCATCCAGGAAAGACTAATGTAGTGGGCGATGCTTTGAATCGTCAAGTGCAAATGGCTGGATTGATGATCAAGGAATTGCAATTGTTGGAAGAAATTAGTTATTGGAATCCTTGACTGGGACCAAGGAAAGTAATTTTGAAAAATATTGTAGTGAATTCCATCTTGTTGGAACGTATCAAGGGATCTCAAGAAAAGGACACTGAAGTGCAAAAATGGTCGAAAAAAGTTGAAAAAGGAAAAAAGTCAGATTTTAACCTAAGATCGAATGGTATTCTGAAGTTTCGGAATCGGATAGTAGTGCCAAACGATGAGGAACTTAAGAAGGAGATTTTAGAAGAGGCACACAGATCGAAGTTTACTGTGACAGCCCCACCTCTCCCTTGGGCAAACCCTAGGGTATCAGCGGACTGCCTGCCTAGCTCTCGCCAGGACTCAGTCGTTCAAAGTACTAATATCATCAATGAAACGAATGTAACATTTGACAATGCAGGGGATTGAAACACTAACTCAAACATGATCACTAATCCAACAATTCAGCTTAGTACATATATCATCGTATGCCAACTTACCACGCTTCACTCAAAATTACATAATATAAATCACCCTTAAGAATTTAAGCTTACAAGTCTGCTTAAACGAAAGTTACAACCTCAAAACGCAAGAACGGCAAAATAAAGCTAAGAAAGCCCTCGATCAAATCCCTTCCCGATCTGTTAAGGAAAACAAAGGGAATGGGGTGAGCTAAAGCCCAGTGAGGTTCCAGGTAAACAAGTAAACACATAGCCACATAAAATCACAAAATAGCCAACTAAACACCGTACAGTAAAATAACAGTTTAATCACAATTCAATTCAAGGATACGGGTGGCTTTCAAAAGCCAAAGGTCCACTTGAGCTTGATCATAATTGCCTCCTGTTGACACTCCGTCAACACTTGTAACAGTATATAGGTCCGTAGAACACCACTTTCACCAGTCTCCGTCCCCCAAACAACCCCCCACCGGGCCCGCACTCCATAAACAGTAGTTTGGTAATACTCGAGTATACCAGGAATCCGAGTTTCCAATGCTCAAGGATTCCAATAAAACAGTATCAAGCCGAGGATTTTATCACTGGTGGTGCTGGACAACACAACAAGCAAGCACAACGGCTATGCTTCACCAGGGACCTCCAGGCAAGATTCAATTTCTAGTGAACAGTAAACAGTCCTCAAGGTTTATCGGCCTTCTCGACCAAGCCCTTGCTGGCTCGATACAACCGACTCACCTATGAGGTTGGGTACCCAAACAGTAACAGTAGTTGGCGGAATGTCATCCACGCAACTTAAGCACGGTCATGTATAGCAATATCTCATTTCATATTACTTCATTCAGTAAGTAGAGCCTACGCGGGGGGGACTCTCTACAGGAGGTCCTACTTATCTCCCTGGCTAAAGTGTGTGACTCCCGAGAAAGGTAATTACGTCCTTCGCGAAATCCATGAAGGAATATGTGCTGCACATGTGAGGTCCCGGGTGTTGGCCAAAAGTGCCTTCTCTTGGGCTAATATTGGCCCTCCGTCTTCCACGATGCCGCAAAGCTGGTACAGAAATGCCGAGCTTGCCAGGTGCACGCCCCGCTGCGCCACCAGCCAGTTCGGGAAATAATTCCCATCCACATTCCCTGGCACTTCGCTCAATGGGGGATAGACCTTCTGGGTCCCTTCCCCCGAGCCCCGGGAAGATATGAACATCTCGTGGTGGTCATAAATTACTTCACGAAGTGGATGGAGGCAGAGCCCCTGGTCTCTATCTCTGGAGGGCAATTCAGAAGTTTTTCTGGAAAAACATAGTCTGCCGCTTCGGGATTCCGCATGTCTTAATATCAGACAACGGGCGCCAATTCGTGGATAACCCTTCAAGACCTGGTGCGCCGAGCTCGGGATCAGTCAACACTTCACGTCGGTCGGCCATCCTCAGGCCAACGGCCAGGTGAAAAATGCCAACCGAACCATCCTCCAAGGACTGAGAACAAGGCTGGAACTGGCCCAATCTAACTGGTTGGATGAGCTCCCTAGTGTCCTCTGGGCTTACCGTACTACGCCCAGGACGGCCACCCACGAGACTCCGTTCTCCCTGACCTACGGAGCGGAGGCGGTGATACCCGCAGAGATTGGTCTCCCCTCACCCCGGACACAGAACTTTGTGGCGTCATCCAACGAGGAGGAGCTACGGTGCAACTTGGACATGCTGGAGGCTAAGCGTGAGGAAGCTTTGGTACCACTTTTAATTTTTGGGTCCATAATAGTTAGCATTGTATCTAACTAACCACATGCACTTCATCCCTTTGTTCAGATTTCTTTTCACATAGCAATTACCTTTCAAATGCCCTCTTTGACAACAAAAACCACACATAATGGAAGAGTCCTTAACATGTACTGGTTTGATATATCTCAATCCACCTCTTCTATATGTTGTGAACCCATGTGCAATTTTGTTGTGTGCAAATGTTCTTTGAAAAGTAGTAGGATGGGTAAATAACATGTTCCTTTTGCTAAACTCCTGCTTTCTTGCTTTCAGAGTCTCATCCAAGTTGTCCATTTTTTTTTCAAATCACCCTGTCTTTCCTTCAGCATTTCACAAATATTTGTCTTTCTATCAAGCTCATCTTGAACATTACATCCGGCTCTTACTAGACTTTCATTGTCGGTCTTTAGTTGTTTATTTTGTTGAAAAAGACTTGCATTTTCTTGAATGAGAAAAGCCATTTTCTGTTTTAACTGCTTGTTTTTATCATAAGATTCCTTCAAGGCATTATGCAGTTTTTCAACAAAGGATTCAAGATCATCATCTTCATCATTATCACTTTCAGATTGAGAGTGTGTGGAAGTTACCTCATTATTTCCAATAGCCATGAAGGCCATTTGAGCAGATTCTTCTTCTTCTTCAACTTCCCCTTCGGAGTTGCATTCATTCCAAGTAATCTGAAAATTGTTTAATCTTGGCTTTCGATCAGCTTTTCCATCTTTCATCTTCTTCATAGGGCATTCGTTTGCATAATGTCCAATCTGTCCACATTCGAAGCATTTGTCCAACTGTTTCTTGTTGAAATCTTGTTTACCTTTATACTTTGCGATAGATGGCTGATTCTGGAATTGATTGCTAGATCCTCCCCTTCTAAACTTTCTTTTATTCAAGATTCTTTTGAAACCTCTGGTGATGAGAGCAAGATCATTATCGTCACCATCCGAGTCTTCATCATCCAGGTGAGCAGTATCATCTTCACCTTGAGTAGTCTTTAGAGCAATGTTTCTCTTTGCTCTAGCATCCTCTTCCTCCTGCACTTTAGATTTCAGTTTCAACTCATAAGAGGTTAGTGAGTTAATGATAGATTCAATAGGCACAGAACTTAAATCCTTAGCCTCCTCTATTGCAGTCACTTTATTTTCCCATTCTTTGCCCAAGGCATTGAGAATTTTCCTGTTCTTCTCTCCCAAGGTGTACTCTTTGCCCAACGCCTCGAGATCTTTGATCAAGTCAGTGAACCTGCAATACATTTTGTCAATATCCTCAAGAGGTTCAATTTTAAATGATTCATATTTCGTGACCAAGATGGCCTTTTTTTGTTCTTTCACATTGTCACCACCCTCATGGATTTCTCTTAGTTTATCCCACATTTCTTTAGCCGATTTGCAGCCTTTTACTCTGATTGATTCATTTGAATCTAGGGCACTATAAATAACATTCATGGCCTTGGCATTCAATGTGAGGTTAGTCCTATCTTGAGCATTCATTTCAACTCTTGTTTTTGGCCGAAGCAACCCTGTATCTACATCAAGAAAGTTAGCTTCATGCGGTCCTTCACTCACAATAAACCATAATTCAATATCAATAGATTGCAGAAAGATAATCATTCGTTCTTTCCAGCTAACATAGTTGGAGCCACTGAACATGGGAGGCCTAGTAACAGATTGCCCCTCAACAAACATAGCATGACTGGTTGTCATCTTTACTCCAAGCCGTTAGAGCTTAATCTCAAGGAGACCAAGCTCTGATACCAATTGTAAGTCCCAAAGACAACCAAGAGGGGGGGGTGAATTGGGTTGATTAAAATCCTAACCAAATTTATGCACTTTTTCTTTAATAAAAAATTTACCTTCTTTTCTAGTAATGATTAACCAAGTAGATTAGAAGACAGGAGCAATATTGATCAGAAAAATAAGTATAGAAAAGCAATGAGAATTTTATTAAACAGAAAAGTAAAATAGGGAATCAAACCAGGTGTCTACCAAGCTATCCTCAAACTTGAAAACCAAACACTAGGAAGAGCAACTTCTCTTTGATGAAAGAAAATCAACTAGATGTACAATGGAGGGAGCACTTCCTCCTCGCCCTAAGCCTCACTTAGTCAAGTTAGGAAGTTTTACAATCACTCAGAAAACCCTCAACAAAGCTACACTAAAGATCCTTTCAACCACAAAAGAAATGCTCAACAGAAATTCACACCACTTTAATACAAATCTGCTTTGGAGACTATTTTCTAGCTAAAATATCTCTTGAGAACTTGTAAACAAAGTGTGCAAAAGTTCCTACTTCGTTCAGACCAGTTTAATTTTAAAGGGAACCAGAAATGGGATTCATCAATGCTTCCAACGGATAGAAGGCAGCTGAAGAGTCAACTAGCCGTTGGGGCTGTCGGACGTCCGACGATCGAATCATCGTCCGAACCAATCGTCCGATGATAGCCATGTTGAGGTTCGGACGTCCGATGAGTTTTTTGTCGTCCGACAGCACAGCGTCCGACCTTGGGCCGAGAGCTAGCAAGTTATCTTGGAATTTTTCGGACGTCCGATCTGGTTGATATGCGTCCGAGGTGTGCGTCCGATCCTTCCGGACGTTCGATGCTCCCATATGAGCGTCCGACAGAGCTTCCTTCCTGATGTTCTTCACCCTTTCGGACGTCTGACAGATTCCTTTCGGCCGTCCGACCTGATTGTCCTGTTTTTGCTTCACATTTTGGTTGTTTTGCTTTTGATGACATATTCGAACCTGATTCTTGGATAGACAAAAACACTTGTTTTCGAAGAAGGTTAGATAAACATTTCAAAGTGCCAAGAATGACACACAAGACACACTTA